CACGACTTGAATGGTGGGTTGTACTTGATTAGGTGATAAGCAACCCTGCCATCAAAATATGCACACATAGAAGGTGGAGAAAGTGGTTCCCTATTATCAAAAACCAAATAATTTTAGGTCCCTAACGCTTAAGTCCTCAATTTTTTACCCTACTATTGGAGCAAATAAGCAAATGATAGATGAGAATGCAATTCTGCCATGTTTAATTACTATCCAAATCAACAAGACGGTCTTCTCTGCCAAATCCACCAACATGTGTCAGTCATTTTTTTTATTTCGGGGGTAAAAACTAATTATTTTTATTTAAAAAGTGCAACGTTTGTCGCGAAATCATGCCCACAATGATGCAGGATTTCATTCACCTACGAATATTCAACAATGATATTTTGATGGATTCGGTGTGTTATTGCCTCTTGACTACTCTGAGTGCGATCTCGATGGTGAACGTGTTTACGCACGTCAACTGCAAAGGTGTTTGCTAAAGCACAGTCGCTCAAATGACTTAAGTAGTGTGCGTCAAGACGGGGAGTAATCCGGTCAGAGAGTGATGGTTCTTGTGTAATTAAGGAATTCATTTATCCATGAATATGAATATGTGAGGATTTCATCCAATGATGCAATGATGGATTCGGTGTGTTATTGACGTAAATTACAGCTCTCCCCGTTGACTTGTTGTTGTCTTCAAGTCGAGACGACCTCGTCCTGCCCAACTTTGCTGCCATACTCCTCAACGGGAAGGCTTCCAGGTGAGACAAACTTGTACTCTCAATTTGGTGGCTTCGATGCTCTGTGTTGATGGGAGTTGTGATTATTGGGGGAGATGTGACTAGGGTCACAGCTGAGCTCAGTTGGGGTCAGACCAGGTCAGGTCAGCTGAGCTCAGCTCAGATGCGTGTACCACATGCCACGTGGGTTGTGAGAAGCTAGCCTTCGTGTATCCAAGACTCAATCAACGTTGCCAACCTGGCGATGGGCCTGCTTACCAGAGGGAAATCAATCTGCTCACTCACACACGCATCCCCTCACTGGCTCACTCCAACCACCCTACTGAAATGCCTAGTTTTTGCAGTCACTTATTTATTCACCTTCCTCCTTATCTACACACCTACCAGCTCACTGAGTGACCTGCTAATTAAGGCCTGCTCTGTGAAGGTGTTTCTCCTTGCGGTCGGTGGATTAGGTAGGCGATTGAGTGGACGCCGAGGCTATTTTGTCTCACGTGTATCACCTATTGCAATTTCATCACCACCGTGGCACCACGCCTGTCTTGTCAGACACCAACAGGGATCACATGGCACGACAAAGCATTCCTCCGTTACCACTCCTCGCATTTCCAGCTTTTCACACAGCTCTAACCTCCCTCAAATCGCTTCACCCTCCCTCCGCTAGTCCTCCTTGAAACGTTCGGACTTCTCCTCTCCACTCAAGGCAAACACCAACCAAGCGATGTCATGGCAGGTGAAGAGGTAGCCTGTTGACAGGTCCCGTATTTCGTCAGATGAGATGACACACACCACAACTACAGAAGCGCGTCTCGTTCCCAAGTCACTTCCTCTCCATCGTGCATCACCTCAGCAGGTGCGTTGTGATTGGTCACAGGCGAGAGGCAATGAGATCGCTCGGCGCTCAAACTCTCTGGCGAGATGAATCACGAAATACAGGAGGAGGACAGGCGGGACACGAGGCGATGCTGACAGACAGGTAGATATGGAGGCCATTCCGTTGCCCTGTATTCAGTATGTGGCCAAATCTTTGGGGACGTCTTCGATGCCATCGGAGGAGCTCATTCCCCTTAACTGCTGCATCAGCTCTACCTCGCATCGGCCGTACTTTTAAGAACGGGACTAATGGGAGAGAAAGCACACGCACCTTGAGGGCTGTGAAGGTGGCTGGAGTATAATGCGCAATGTGGCGATGGCTGTAGACGCGAGGCTGCATGAGGAGGAGAAATGTCCCCTCCCTTCCCCTAACCAATCCGTAGAACGCCCGAACCAACGCACTTCTCCGAGCTGCATTCCACTGTCAGGAAGCTCCTTAGAAAACAGTCTCCTCTCCTGGAAATGTAAACACAACCATCCACAACCATTCGCTACTCCATCCCAAAGATGAAACGCTGGTGTGCGTGTGTCCAAGTGTGCTGTATGATGTCTACCACCACCGAACTTCGCCCATTTCACTCCCAAACTGGTTGAAGGGTTACCTCAGTGCTACCCAGCATCTTAAACAACCTCCAAGTCTTGGCAAAATTGGGACATCCATGGCTGGAAAAAAGGCCCTCTGAACATCACCATTCTCCCCCTCTTCCTAGCGGAAGCGAGGGAATTTCGTTTTCCTTAAAAAACCAAATACATGGACATTAAAATACCAAGGGGAAAAATCGCCACTGAAAAAGTCTTCTTCACAACAAACACAACTCCTGCCCAGCCAGATTGAGCACATTCACCGTCGAGTCGCAGGTCAGCTCCGTCCCTGAGTGCATCAGTCGCAGATTCGCCGCCAAACGCCAGTCAAAGGCCCCACGAACCTATCATCAAAAAAGCAGAGAGTGCTACTTAATTAGTAAGTAAGTAGGCTGGATGAGTCTGAGGGGATGAAGAGTTGGGGGACAAACTCGCAACAGATGGAAGGATAGGTGAAGTGAAAGTGAGGGTCACAAAAGGGCACAGCAGTTAGGGTAAGCATGTTAAGCCTCAATTCGTTACGGCACCCCGTGCTAGTCGACACTCACCACATCAAGCAGCTCCACAACACCACTGATCAGCTGCTTGCCTGTGGCGTCCACAAGGCAAACGTCGATGCTTTCACCCACCACTGGGCAGCGCACCTTCAGACTTCTCATGCTAGAATGCTCACCGGGCACATGTGACTTTGAAGCCGCGGTGGTGCTGTGGCTGGCAGTATCTTTGGTAGAAGCTATTCGATGAAAGATGGTGACAACCAAGTCATCGGGTGGAATCTACAAGAGGAGGAAAGGAAAGTTAACATCTTTGCACTTCTACGGCTAGAAGTGGACCTCTCCTCGGCACCGCAACATCCCTCCCTCGTTCTCCAGCGCTACTAACAAGTCAATCAGAGAGTTGGGGAAGTGTATCACCAATTCATCAATTTCGACTTTACCAAAACAAATGCTAGGCATAGCAGAGGTAGTGAAGGTCTTAGGACCACCTATTCGTGGAGCTCCTAGTTCCTAAAACATGAAGAACACTAGAACCCTTCACATCGAAGATGCTGACTCCTGGAGGGCCTCAGAGCATCGGAAAATCCAAGGCAATTGAACTTTCCACTTCCTTCACAGAACAAGCCCAAAAAGCAGCATCTCACCAATGAAGGACACAAAGATGTGTGGGTGGGTGACTGACTCACCGTTGTGGCATCGGAGACTACAATGTCGCCTAGTCGCTCGCCCCTTGCCTGAACAGCCGCGGTGGCGGCTGTCAAGGCAGCATCCTCCATGGTGCAGCAAACAATTGGCTGTTTCACGGTAGCGTCGATGAGTGCGGTGTGGGAGGTGAGAACTTGAGCAAGCACCTCTGACATCGTCGAAACTACCACCTGGATGGCGTCCTCCGGCACTAGGTTGCCCTGCAACGGAGAAGGAGGGCAAGGACATTAACAATGCCATTGGGGACACGCAGATGAGAAGCAACTCCTCTAAGTGCATATCTTGCCAATTAGTTGTAGGTCAAGAGGTCAAATCAAAGACATGAAAAGGTGGAAAGAGAACATTGGTAAACTGGCCTTCTTGCGAGCGCGTTGTATGCGGTTGATGAGTTCACGAGCCACCCGCTCCTCCTCCAACTCTGTGTCTGCTCGCACGTCCAACAACACCAGCAAGCCCTTCCCATCCGCCTGCGCCTTGTACTTCGGTCCCTCCGCCACCTCCACCGGTGCCTTCCCATTCTCCGCCAATTTGGCTTTTAACTTTTTCGCCTGGGTATTGTTGTTCTCATCGTTGTCCTCGTCGCCAACCACGTAGTCGACTGTCACGTCGTCACCGCTCAGCCGCTCTCCCTCGACTGTCATCTCACCCGTCTGCATTCATCGATAGTAACCACCGTCACGAAAAGAAAAAGAAAAACAGCGTCAGTGACATTAACACCGGTTAACCAGATTCCAGTTTCTGTTCCGCAAGAGTCGGATAGGTGACCGTCTTCTCAAAGGCTACTCGTTTTGGAAGATGTTAAAAACGAGACAGTTTCCTTGTTTTTGATAACTCACCTTCCAACTACCTTTATGTCACATCCACCAACCGATATATCAGTTTCAGGCGAATTCATGACCTTTACCTCACTTATAGGCGTTCAAAAAAATAAAAAAGCCACAGAAATAGAATTCTAGGGGAAACGGTTATTCATTAAAAGGTGGATTCCATTAAAGGTTGAGAAGAATGCCTCTCGAAGGGCCCCGAATTCGGGAATGGAAATCGGATGTACGTAACCTACTGACCACAGGTCACATCGAGAGCGTGGAACATTGATTCCCACACAAGACGCGATTGGCGATTAAGTTTGAATGCCTGAAGCAAGCATTCGGAGGGCATTGTCGTTGTCACGAAATAAAGGGGGCAAAAGGCGATCTTAGCCCATCTACTCTACAGAATCCAGGCTCACGCGCGTGTCCAAACACCAATTCATAGCAACTCATGGGGGGCACTTTGCTCAAATTTTGAAAGTAGATTAAATCAAGCCTCAGCGGCAGAAACTTGGTCCCACTGCCCGACGCACGATGGAAGCAGAACACGTAGCTGGATACAAAACAACTGGATCGTGATTAGCCAAATGAGCAGCCAATCTCACAGAGCAGTGACGATGGGGCGAGCGCCGGCGGGTGACCCACAAGGGGAAAAAAATATAAAAACGAGGATGGTTTAATGGGATTACATCAATACGAAAATGGCCATTATTCACAATCACCTCCAAGTATCCGACTTGTTGCCGTAACGAGAACAGGGCCAAAAGGAAAAGCTTCATCTTCAATCAGCTCTCGAGTGGTTCAGAAGTAAAAAGGAGACGACAAGAGTGTCACGAAAAAAAATAACTGAGAGAGGGATTCCCGGAGTGAGCCAACCACGTACCTATGCTCTGTTATAAAACAAACAGAGATAGAGAGGAAAGTGAGGCGCCAGAACGAAGGGTGAAGAAGTTATGCTCACGATTTAAATAAGAGGTGGATCTGAGGCGATGGGAGCAGAGAAGAAAGACTGTGACCAACTAACTTGCCGAAAACGAAGATGGATCTGCACGACAAGTAACAGCAGCATTGGAGGGATAGAAAACGAGGAGCAGCCAAGAGGTGGAGGAACTTACCGTGAGATAAGCCTCCAGGGAAGACTGTGGGAGGGCGGCGACAGCAGCAGCTAGAAGACGAAGACGAGCGCGAAGGCGCGCACCGAGGACAGGGTTGAGACGAGCACGTAGGCGCACCCGGTAGGTGGTCTTGTCATCGGTGACGGTAAGGTTGCGTATGTTCAGCTCTTCCGTCACGTAGGACGCTAGCGCGGTGACGGCTTCACGGGCCTCCGCAAGGGGATGAATCACCACGGCGGCAGGCAACGGTGCCTTAAGAGGGAGGTCGTGCCGGGTGCGGATACTCCGCCCCAATTCCACCGCCGCCTGCATCCACGCCACCCGCTCCTCCAGGGCAGTGTCAATGCCGCCGCTCTCTGCTGATACGCCCACCAGGTAGTGCACCGACGCCGGTGCCCCATCCGCTCTTACGGCGCCCGACTCAGCGTCACTTACTCCGTCTGTAATTTATGCCCATGTTCACAGCATCACCGATTTCAAGGTAGTAGAAAATGATAAGTAAGTAAAAAATTGCGGTCACCGACAGATAAAGACGCACACACACACCCACGCATACTCACCAAGAGGGAATTCGGAGAAGTCCAGTTTAGCCTTCAGGCGCTGGTAGATAAACTCCGTGAAGAAGGGAGCAAATGGCGCCATCACGAAAATGAGTTGGAAAAAGACCTTTACGAGAGTGTGCAGTGCACCGTACCAGTCCTCCTCCGCGTCCATCGTTGCCCCATTCGCCGTCAGTGTGGGCTGTGCCTCACCTTTCAGTCGGCGGCGGTTCATGCGGATGTACCAGTTAACAAGTTGTTCGATAAAGCACACTAGTCGAGGTACCACCGTGTAAAGACGGTAGGCGCGCAACTCAGTGCGCACAAACAGGAGGAGACTCTGAGTGAAGGATAGGATCCACCGGTCCATCAGGTTCCGCGACTTTGGCCACGCCTCCGCACGTACTCGAAACGTCGTGCCGTGTACCCGCTCCCAGGGCTCAATGCCCGACTAAACGGGGAGAGGAGACGAAAACGACGGGAAATAATAATTCATATCACCACCACTGCTGCTGTCACACTGTCAATTGGGACATCTGACGAGCTACTGAAGTGTCTATTAGTAACTTGCCCAAAGATCATTAAGGCATTGATAGACGGGAGGAAAGACAACTACCGATCTCCAACACTTTCAATTCTCTGGGTCAGCTTAACGAATTCAGATATTTTGTAATCCGGAATGTTTTCCCTCAATGGCTGATATTCACACAAATTTATTTGGGCCCGTCTCATTATCAAACCACTCCGGCGAGAAAACAAAGGTAAATGGGAAAAAAGATGGACAAACCTTCATGAGAAAGCGGAAGGCGTTATACCATGGAATAAAGACGTCCTTTAGTACATCGCGCACACCCCATTCAGAGAAGCGCAGACTCTGTGCGCGCACCACCGGCGAATTGACAAGGTAGAGCCGCAGCGCGTCCGCCCCGTACTGCTCCACTATTTTGCACGGATCTGGGTAGTTCTTTTGCCTTTTGCTCATCTTTTGCCCGTCCCTAAAAAAAAAACCACCAAACACATACAACTCGTCGGTCATCGTCAATCCCTAGCCAGTTGAGGCAACAAGGGTAGGAAGCACACTCACGAGGCAAGTACAATGCCGTTGACAATGAGGTTTCTGAAAGGTGGTTGATTGAAGAGAGCAGTGGAAAGGACGAAGAGAGTGTAGAACCACCCACGCGTCTGATCGACTCCCTCCGCCACGAAATCTGCTGGGAAGCCCGAATTAAAGCGCTCCGCGTTCTCGAAGGGATAGTGCATCTACCAAAAGACAGTCGGTCAGTCATTTACTTAACAAAGCAGAGGGAAAGACAATCATTGTATGGAGATGCACCTGTGCATATGGCATCGAACCGGACTCAAACCAGCAGTCAAACACTTCCGAAATACGTCGTAGCTCGCCCTTGCCCATGCGTGACGGAATCGTGATTGGATCCACACTAAACACATCGAAAGAGGAAAATAGAGTCCACGAGGATAAGAAGGCGGAGATAAGAAAAGGAAACGGCCGTACAACTCCTTATGAAGGTCGGTGACGCAATGGCCAGATAGCCGCTCTAACTCGTCAACAGAGCCAATGCAGACCACCTCCTCGAAGTCCTCTGATACCCACAGAGGGATGGGCGTGCCCCAGTATCGATTGCGCGAGATAGCCCAATCCCGCGCGTCCCTGAGCCAATTGGCAAAGCGCTTCTCCTTTATAAACTCGGGGACCCAGTACGTCGCAGCACTGTTCGCCAATAAGCGCTCCACCAGGCACTCCACTCGCACAAACCACGTCGGCACTGCCTTGTACAGCAGAGGTGTGTCCGACCTACAACCAAACCCATCAATTACCCACCCACAATATTAAATAGGGGATTTAAGCGAGGCGAGACGGGGGGGAAGAAATGAAAGACAGAAACGCACCGCCAACAAAAGGGGTAGCTGTGTTGAAGTGTGGACTGTTGCACGAGACGACCGGCGTGTTTGAGATGCTGGCAGATCGACCGGTCGGCGTCTTTCACATACTGACCAGCGAAATCCTTAACCTCGGCGGTGAAACGACCACTCGCATCTACCGGACACACTGTTGCCATCTCCTTCGTCACGATCCCTTCGCGCAGACAGACTCTAAAGTCGTCCTATACACAAACGCACTGATTATCAGTAGCCACGAGAGGTACAAGAGAGAGAAAGTAGAACGAGCACTCACCTCACCAAAGTAGGGCGCCTGATGTACTACTCCCGTCCCCGTTTCCTCGGTTACGTAGGCGTCACCGACCACACGAAAGGCGCCACGCAACTCCTTCAACTGTCCAAAAAGGCAAAAAAATCTGGAAGTTAGGAAATAAATGATCAAGCGTCACTACCAGTACACAAACCCCAAACACTCACCCCAATAAAGTAGTCGAAAAGTGGCTTGTACTTCAATCCAATCAACTTCTTGCCTTTCATTCTGTAAAACACCAAGGAAGCAACGAATACAAAGTCATCGTCTTGCGAAGAAAGGGAAGGAGAACGGAGAAGGGTCAGACTCACTTCTCTAGAACCTCGTAGTCATCCGCTTTTTTGTAGAACCACTCCAGACGGCACTCCATGATGATGAATACCCTATCCCTACTTTTATCTGTAGGATGAAGGTACGAAGATGTTAAAATTGAGGGTTAGAAATGGGAGAAAGGAGTAAAGTTATCTACCCTTGATTTTGACGTAGTCTTTTTCCGGATTAACACACAACGCCAAGTTGCTAGGCAACGTCCAGGGTGTGGTAGTCCACGCAAGCAGTTCAATGCAGACGGTGGATGCGCTGTTGTCAAAATCTTCGACAGGGAATGACACAACGATGGCAGGATCCTGAACGTCTTTGTAGTTCAGACCTGCCTCAAAGTTTGACAGCGGTGTGGAACAGGCCGTGGAGAAGGGCATCACTTTAACACCGCGGTACACGAGACCCTTCTCATACAGCTGTTTGAAGACCCACCACACGGACTCCATGAAGGTGGGGTACATGGTACGATAATCATCGTCAAAGTCGATCCACCTGCCGATGCGCTGGACGACGCTGCGCCATTGCGAGGAGTATCGCATCACAATCTCACGGCACTTGGCATTGTAAGCTGCGACGCCCATCGCCTCGACGTCCTGTGGTCCACTGATATTGTTCAGCTTATCCACCTCGTATTCCACGGGCAGACCGTGACAATCCCAGCCAAAGTGACGTTCTACGTGATAGCCTTCGCTGTACGCAAAACGCGTAACCACATCCTTTATTGTACCCGCCAAAATGTGTCCATAGTGCGGCAGTCCGGTCGCAAACGGTGGCCCATCATAAAACGTAAACCTAAGACAGGTAAGCACGTTCCCCTTCATATCATTCAAATAGCAACTTACGGTGGACGTTTGGCGGAGAGTCTGCAGGATGTCTTAAATGCCTCAATTTCATTGTGAAACTGAATTATTTTCTCCTCTTCCTCGGAGAAATTTATTGACGGCGGGAGATCGTCGCGACTCATGCCACGTAGTTAAATGCAGTGCAGGCACGGGGGCTCGAAAGCCGTACGCTTATCAAAACCACCAACCGGAAGTTGTCATTTTCCAAAGTTAATGCCAGAATCGCTGTAGTTATTTTACCTAAAATTGGCAATAATATCGAAATAAAAGTTGTTTGTTTATAACGACATTCACTGTGTGCCAAAAATGATTATTGCAAACAAAATGGCTTTATTAAGTAAACAAATATCCAATATGTGCCGACGTAACTTATGCGAATTTAGTATTAACTTTCCTTTTTACATGAAAATTTTAGAAAGTGACTAACTTGCACTATATATTCGTTGTTTCAAAAGGCAGAAATCCTATCTACCCGGCAGAGTTTTTAAAATATTTTTATTTGGCTGCATTTATTTGGCCAGTGGTAACCATATTTTTTGGGTAAGTTCTTAGTCTTCGTGTATTTTGTGTAGTTTGGTTATCAGGTCATGCTTCAAGGTGAAATTCCAGCTTACACAAGCGGTGCAAAAAATTGTTAAGGCCCACTGTAGTAGTTTAGGTAACTTGATAATTTTGATAATTTTGTCAGACTAATCAAATCTCGAAGCTCTTGCGTTCGGCCTGTGGCATGGCCTTTGTATTGTGGTAGCAGTTCCGTCAGGGATTCTGCATTTCAGTAAGTGGCGTGTTACTTGGCTTGTCACGACTTTGGGGTTGACTCAGGACACCGAAATTATCTTTGCTATTTGAGTTAGCAGATAAATTATTGCCAACTTCTTAACCGACAGCTCATTAGTAGGTGTGCCTGGATTGCATCTGCGAGCTAGCCATACAAGATACCACTGTTAACAAAGGCCATGTAGATCGGTTTTAAAGTGGGAACTGTGCATGAACCTGTGAATGTGGGACCAAATTGATTGAAAAGTAGATTCACAGGAAGTCGACCAGGTCTTAGGCTCTTGACTTTGAATGCAGGCGCTCAAATGGTAGGACCAGAATAGCATTTCAAATTTCAGGCAGGGACTAGTTTCTTGGTCACTAATGTAGCGTCCCGAGACTCCCCGAAGGCGAAAGAAGACAAAATACTCGGGCAGAGTATATATTCAGCGCAGAGAAAGTGTCTGGGCTATTGGCATGGCCCAAAAGGCCAGCCCACCCAGCGAGGTACAAGGGGACCAATTCGAAGTACAAAAGTGGCGCCTCACCAATATCGAGGGCTAAACCACCATCGTATTACATAGCCTCCCTCCTCTTTTGAGCGCCGTCCCCGGCGCTACAGCAGGTCAACCTCCTGCGTCAGCCATTACAACGTAGTCGGTGCAGTAAAGAAACCCACGAGCCAACCGTGCCAGTCACCAAATTGGCGCGCAACTGGGGGGATACTTGACCTCAACGTCACTGATACCTCTTGGCAGCTTGACTGGATCTGGGGTTTCGTCCGGTTTAGAGATCTGATTCAGGATGGGGAACTGCGTCGGCCATCATGCGTGTCCATAGATAGGTGCAGGAACACTGGCCTAAAAGCAGATCTGAGTAAGGAAGTACAAGATTTAAAACAGGTCCATGAGGGACGGTAGGGGAAATCCGTAACGAAACTTCCAGATGGTTCACGGCTAGTGTCGCTTCAGTTGTTAATAGCTTTTCTGCAGAACACGGGACTGGGAGGGATGCCGAAGGTAGACGTCAACATCAACCTTTCTGTTAGGGGTCATCACCATTCTCCCATCCGTAGCATGTGTACTTCTTCCACTCCACTAAGGCTTATCACGCAGAAGTGGAAAATCAGGATACATGTCTTTCAAGATCGGGTTCGCTTTCCGCTGCCACCAATGTAGCGTCCCGAGACTTCCTGAAGACGAAAGAAGACAAAATACTCGGGCAGAATATATATATTCAGCA